GATAGATAGAATCCATCTTTCAATCCTGGGAACTGGGACTCCCTGAAAAGGCTTATGTGAAGGCCAAAAGCAATTTTCTGGAAGTGAATGGCATCTGCTGATCTTTCCTCTTCTGAGCAAACAATATGGCAAAGACTCAAAGCTTGGCTCAGCTCTTACTAATAGGATCCTGCAGGAATCAGGAGGAAATGAGATTATCCTTAAAGTAGGAAAGAGTTATGCTGGTTTAAGACAAGATCCTTGTGAAAGAGATAGAAAGACACACACACACACACACACAAAAACAGTTAATATGGTCCTACAGAATCAAAGGAAAGGGGTTGCTTTTCATTTGTGCCTTCTCAAGCATTGCCAGTATAAAGCTGCAGAATTTTATAACTGGATGGTTCCTTCGAGACCATCTAGTTTAACTCCCTTACTTGATAAGTAGCTGAGGCCCAGAAAGATAAAGCAACTTATTTGAGGTCATTCAGCAGTAAATGACAGTGCCAAGACAAACAAGCTGACTCCTCCCATTTGCCCACCCAGTGCTCCTGCTGGTATCTTCCAAGTCATCATCCTGTCTTTGTGCCAAAAGGGCATTAAAACGTGCGCGCGCACACACGGTTTCTCACTTTTGCCCAGTTTCCCAAGAAGTAGAGAAGCAGATCAACCCCTAAAACCTTCTTCCCACTGGAATTTGAGGAGGATTCCAATCTATACCCTCTCCCAGGCCCTCTTTGGAGTTTCTGCTCTCCTTTGTGTTCACGTTCACTCTTACGGGCTCTTAGGAGTTCCTCACCCCAAAGATCAGGTACATCTCAGAGCATAAGTTACCACCTGCTAATTTGCAACTTTGCACCTTCCCACAAATGCTATACCTTGAGGCAGGAAAATACAGAACTATTATTGTTTCCTCCAAGCTCCCTAATTGAATTCAGTGAGAACTGACCCCTACCTCCCTAGGATAACTCAACCAGGTTTGTTTATATAGTGTCTTTATGTGAAGGGCAGGAGAAACCTTAGGTCTGCCTAACTCTGAAAGCAGGAGAAGGAGGGCACCAAGGAATAGGAGATGGATTGGGGGAAGGAGGGAGATGAGTAGAAGGAACAGTGACCAAATTGCAAAGCCTGGATCCTGGGGACAGCTATACTGCGAGACCGACTCCCCGCTGAGGAGACAGAACTGCCAGGGGTTTGCACTGTTTTCATTATGCGCTCTGGTAACTGACTAACAACAAACTGGCGCCCCTAAACTACACACGTAGGAGGAAGCGGGCAAAGGCTATCCCGAAGTAGCAGAAACAATGAACTCTTTTTCCTTCCTCTCCCTTTTCCACTCTCATGAGATGCTTGTCACTCTGCACCTTGCTGCGTACCCTAAGCGCACCAGATTTCGGTGCATCATCCCTGTCGGAGAACTCCTCTCTCTGATCTCTGGAGGGTTAGAAAGAAACAGGGCATACATATCTCAGCTCTACCAAGAGCTGCCCGTCCTTTGCCCCTTGCCGGAGAACTGATCTGAGAGAACAGCTTTCGCAGAGTGTTTGAAACTGACAAACGGGGGGCGCTTCTTGTCCCTAAGCACATAAGCCTGCCTGGGGTGTTCCTCAGCCTGGGTCTCTGCTTTGAGAGTGGGAGGCGTTAAGTGTCACAGCCATGCATTCCTTCCCCACACGCTCAACTAACCACGAACCGGAAGGAAGGCGTTGCTTTTTATCTTTTTTCCCTCCCTACCTGAATTCCGGGACCAGGTTAGGCTGCAACCCGTAGAAAGCAGCGGAGAGAGTGACCAGCCACCCGGGCTTGTAACTCCCGTTCTCGCACTCCAGATAAGGCGGGGACCACTTGACATGGCTCTTGTCCCCGCTAAGCCCGTCCCTGCGCCGCCAGCTATGGCCCAGGCCCCGGGGCCCCTGATTGGAGCCGCGGCGGTGTAAGTGGGTCCTCCACTTGCGCCGGAGGCCGTGGAACCACTCGGTCTCCAGCGTGGCGTTGGCCAGGTGGTGTGCCGAGGAGGACAGGTCCTGGAGCAGTATGCGACTCTCCTCGCGTGTGGCCTGGAGGAAGACCTGCGGGGCCGGCGCGGACAGCGACTCCGTGCTGAAGGTGATGGCCGCCCGGGAGATGCTGGGCTCACCCTCCAGGAGGCTCCGCACTAGTGCCTGGTACCACTCCAGGTCATCCTGCAAGTTCTGCTCCCGCGACTTATTGCTCTGCAGCATCATGTTGAGGAAGTTGGTGGCGTGTGTCAGCGTGTCCAGCGCCCCGTGCAAGGAGGGATGGGAGCTGGCTAGGGCAGGCGACTTTCCCGGCAGGCCCGCCAACTCGTAGCGACTGGAGCAGTTGGCTCGCTTCAGCTGGTGGGAGTCCCCGGTGTAGAGGTAAGAGGCCACGTCCATGGGCACCTCCTCGGCGAGTTTCTGCGCCAAGATGGTGCCGTCGGTGGAGCGGCTCCAGGGAGCTGAGGGGTCCGAGGCAGAGGCTCGAGCCGACTGTTGGGAGTGCTGCTTCGCCCTCAGGGTCCTCTCACGAGGGGAATCCGGCCGACCCGGAGGGTCACGGCTAGCGCCAACAACTCCCAATCCCAGATGAATGAGCAGGATGCAGAAGAGTAAGGGGTAAGCCATGGCTCCCATCTGCCTCGCAGAGCGGTGAGGAGGTAACGGGAGGAGTCACTTTTAAAATTTTGGTCGTCAGCCTATCAACAGAACGACTTTTACTAGGGGTCTTGCCCCTGCTCCAGATGGCACCTAGTCCAAAAGGACTTTAAAGTAAAAATGTTACGAAATACGCCTGGCTGACTAAGCTACCGTCACAGGAAATCAAATCACCTGTGGCAACGCTGGCATTGGGTCCGCTCAGGGTTACGCACCTCGCAGCCTTGAGCCGAAAAGGTTACATCCCCTCTCGCTACCGCCAGCGATAGTTAGCCTGCTTACGTCTTTCTGCTCAGCAGCTTCCACCGCCGCTTTCATTGAGGTGTGTTCGAGAGCTGCTGCTGCTGCTGCTGCTGCTGCTGCTTCTGCTGCCGCCGCTGCTGCTGCCGCCGCGGCCGCCGAAGACGCTGCTCCATCATCTCACCCGTGGCAGGTCGTTCCCGCCTCCCGGCAGTGGCTCCTCCTCATTCGCTTCGCCCCAAGGCGCGGGACGCGCGCACACGGACCCGCACTGCGAGCGCAGCAGCGAGTCCCAGAGAGCAAGGGTTTCTGTTAAGACGTTTGTCTCTCCTGAGCCGAGGGGGCCAGTCAGCTGGCTAATTGGAGCCTTCAGGTTTGGCCGCAAACCGCACTTCTGCCTCTCGGTGCTCTCGGGAGGAAAGCCGGTTTAAAGAGGCAGCTTGGCCGCAACCAAACCCTTGTAGGGCGGCTTCGAGTTGTCTTGCTCCCTGTTTGGCCGGCTGCGCTGTCAATCAGCCGACTGCCATTTGCTGGGCTGGGCGGGAGTCCAGCGCCGAACCCTCGGCGGCTCGGAGGAGGCGCAGGAGGAGGCGGTGGCGCGCAGTGTAGCCGCGCTGAGTCCTTTCAACCCACTCGCGTTCCCTGGTGACTCGAGAGCCCGAGTGGCGGGGGGAAGGGTGGGCGGGAGTGAGGGGATAAGCAAAGCTTGGCTGGCTCAGAGCGAAGGAAACTTGCGCGTACTGAGGAGGAGGGTGTTGGCGTCTTGCATGCTTACTTCAAGCAGCCTTTTTTGCCTGGAAAAGAGGGAGAAAGTAGTTTCATTGGAGACTTAAATCGAAGGGGAGGGACGTAGGATGGAGACGTGTCCTCCCGAGCATCTGCTCTTTTTAGGCAAATTATCAAATCTTCCTCCTTGTTGTCGGTTAAAGAAATGATTAAACCCTGCTTGCCTAGGTCCTAGCTATAAGGAAGTAATGGAGACACCTACAGGCTGAACTTTAAGAAAAAGTGCCATATTTAAGGAACCTCTGAAAGGGATGAAGGGGGAACCTGTGAGAGTGTATGCACGTGAGGGAGACAACATGGGCAGGGTCAGGACTCGGACTGTGAGAGAATGAAAGAGAGTGAGTCTGTGTTGAGTGAGAAGGGAAGGCGTTCTGACTGGGAATTCCTAGCATTAGTGGATGTAAGAACTAAAACGTCTGGTTGGGGTATCCCAGCTGAAGAAAGACAAGCTGAATAAGTATGACAAGCTCCCCCCAAAATGACTGGAAAATCCCTTAACACAGCCTCATTGTTTTATTTGAAGCTTTCAGAGTGTCTTCTGACATTTTCATTCTGGAAATACTAATTAGTGCTGGATAGGTAGTGTTTTATGCACTTGCACCTTCCATATGCGCTTCCATTTTCAAATTCCCCAAGAAAAGCATATGGAAAAATCTCAAATTCACTTCAATTCCCAACTAAAAAGAAAAAAAAAAAAAAGTCCCCGTGTCATTTTAAGGTAGCTCTGCTTAGATTTACTTTGCCATCTTATTTTGTCCTCCTTGTTGAGAAAATACCTGAACATGGAAATGTAAGCCCTAAAGAGCAAAGATTTGTCTGCATTGGTCACCGTAGTATCTTGGGCACCTAGTTCCAAATAAATGTTTACCAAATTAATGAATGAACCAGAAGATTATGATGATGATGCTAATTATTTAAAAATCCATCTCCTTACCTAAGAAGAGAAGTCTGATACGTCAGTGGTGAGGGCTTTTGAAATAAGACATAGCAATCAGTTTTCCAAACTGCAATGTGTGGTCTCCAAGGGAGTTTTTATAGCTATGCAAATAATCATTATTAGATTTGTGTTTATTTACAAGTAGGTTTCATGTTCGTATTTGACTTCTTTAAATTTTGCTTTGCAGCATATACTCCTTTACTAAATAAAGGTCATCTCATTTTAATCCTCTACTATAGTACATGTGGCAATAATAACAGGAATCTCTGTTTCTTTAACTTATCAATGTATACAATATGATTTTCTCTCTATTTAATCATCTGAAGACTGAAGTGTAATTTCCTTATTAATTGATTTTTTAGAAAGCCTGCATAACTTATTAAAAAATCTTTAAATTTTTCTAGTATCACATTTTGAAAGGCAAGATGTAATTTTATTAGTAGGTGCTTCTATAAGTAATTCAATGACTCAGTGTTATTGAAAGACCTGGGTTCTGGTCCCAGCATTATTTTAAGCAACATATATGACCACTGGCAAGACATTTAAAGTTTCTGTGTCTTGGGACACGAACTGTATGTGGGCCTCATGATTTGACATTGAGGGAGTCCTGGAATGGCACCTGAGCCACTCCCCAGAAGTGCCAGCCCTTCCCCTAGCACACATCTACCAAGAGTGAAGCAGGCTATGAAAGGCTCTTGCAATTTTGGCATTCCCTTCAGTGGATCACCTTCAGTCTACATCACCAAACAATAGAGGTGAACTAGTTAGGTCTAGAACATCATTGCCCAATAGAAATATAATGTGAGCCACAAATTTGATCAATACATATAACCTTAAATGTTCCAGTAGTACATTTAAAAAGTAAAAAGAAAAAAATGAAATTAAATGTAATAATATATTTTATTTAGCCTAATGTGTCATTTCAATAATTAAACAATGTAACAATTATTAATGAGATATTCTATCTTTTTTGTACTAAATTTTCAAAATCCAATGTGTATTTTATACTCACAGCATATGGCACTTCACACTAGTCACATTTCACGTGCTCAATAACCACCTGTGGCCAGAGGCTACCATAGAACTCAAGCTCTGGAAAATAGTGCATCATGGTCTAGGATGCTCTAGACAACATAGATCCACTCAAAATAAGGTACTACGATCCAAATGCTCTTGGGGGTCAGAAGTCAAGCTAACTGAGTAGGTAGACAACCCTATGTCTATGTTAGTGCCCATCCCTGAAGGAGATAATTCAAAAGAAGTTTTTATAAGCGACCAAGACATAACACATACTCATACCCCTCTAAGCAGACTGTAAAGTTCCACACCAACTCACAGACATATTATTCACTCAACAAATGTTGATTGAACTACATATCAGGCATTGTGCTTAGTACAGGGACAAACATCTGCCTGATAGACACATGGACCTTATATGTGTCTTAAGTGGATAGAGAGATAATAAAAAAGCAAACAAATAACTTTTACAATTACATATGGTGATAAGTGCCATGAAGAAATAAACATTGTAAAGTTACAAAGAGTGCATGGTATGGGGGCAGGGAGATTCTTACATAAAAAGATAAAAAAAAAAAAAGAGAGAGAATTCAATGAGAAGTTAACACTTGAAGTGAACCTAAAGATTGAGGAGTAGTTAACTAGGCATTAAGTAGTAGCAAAGTAGCTAAAGGTAAGATGAAAAGAAACTCATCTTGGGTAGAGGGAGTCGTGTACGAGTGCACTAAGACTGCCAATATTCCACTCTTAGAAGGAAAGAGGAATGGAGAAAGATGACTGCATTAAGATAAAGTTCATTTATCATATAAAAAGTGCAAATAATTGAGACAA